GGGGGGGACAAAAAAGAACAAAACAACAGCAAAAACAAAAAATCTGATAAAGAGAGCTAGAGAGATAGACCAGTGGTTAAGAACACTGGATGTTCTTCCAAAGGACTTGAGTTCAGTTCCCAGCACCCACATAGTGGTTTACAATCACCTGGGAATCCAGTTCCAGGAGAGTCAATATTCTCTTCTGGCTTCCATGGGCACCAAGCACACTCATGAGTGCACAGAGATACATGCAAGCAAAACATTCAAACATATAAAAGTGATTTCTCTTCATCTGAGAAAGGATCATGGACCTTTCACTGGAAAAGAGGAAGCAGGTGGGTCCATACATGCGGAGCAGTTGACAAGTGAAGGGGCCTTCAGAAGCTGTCCACACACCAGGCAAGTGTTCCTAGATTTGTGATCTGCATCAACTCCTTTCACTGCCTCGGCTCCTCAAATTATGCAATTAGCAAGCCAGAATATCCTAACAGGGCTTGGTGCACTGTGGTACAAGCTCATCTAGTGGTCCACTTCTGCCCTGGACATCCACGACCACTTTCTTACATGCACAGGTTAGCAGTCAGTAGTGCTGCCTTTCCAGAGCATATACTGTTATTTCACTCTTAAAAAAAAAAAGGCCAGCTGCAACTGAATAGCTGCTACCCTCATAAGCACAAGAGGTCCAAGCCAGGATCCCTGATAATAGGGATTAAAGTGACTGCCGCTTGGGTGGCTTTGTCACTAGCAATCTCCAGTGCAGCAAATACTGATGAGCACATTAGACATGAAAGTCTTACCAAGTGTTCAAGGCCATAGTCAGCCTGGGCGATACTAGTGCTGCTGAACGTGTTTGTTTCAATGATATCTGCTCCAGCCAGCAAGTATTCCTGCAGCAAAAGAGAGTAAGTCAGCTGTCATGAACTTAGTGTCCTCGGCCCAAAAACAAACATGCCCTTTCATTTTTCTCACCGACAACCACCTTTTAACCAACATGTAAGACAATACACTCAAGACTAGAGATGTAAGCAGACACAAGGATTTCACAAAAAGGGATGTGGTTTAGTACATTAGCATAGAACATAAATTCAGACAAAAATTAACACAGTAAGCTGTGTAAATTTAGTTACACTCCTTAAACTCACTTTGTAGAACAAGTTGGCCTTGAACTCACAGAGATCTGCCTGCCTCTGCCTCTAAAGTAGAGTTCCGAGATTAAAGGCATGCACCACAATGACTGGCTTCTTGCCATTTTTTAACAAATGTTATGAGTGCTCTATCTGCATATACAACTGCATGCCAGAAGAGGGCATCAGATCACATGGTGGTTGTAAGCCACCATATGGTTGCTGGGAATTGAACTCAGGACCTCTAGAAGAGCAGTTAGTGCTCTTAACCGCTGAGCCATATCTCTAGCTCCCCTAGTCTGGCTTTTTCTACCTTTCTTTTTTTTAAAAAAAGATTTATTTATTTATTATATATACAATTCTACCTGCATGTACACCTGCATACCAGAAGAAGGCACCAGATCATTATAGGTGGTTGTGAGCTGCCATGTGGTTGCTGGGAACTGAACTCAGGACCTCTGGAAGAGCAGAC